ATCAGTCATGTCTGACTCTTCATGACCCCATTTGGGGTTTGCTTGGCAAAGATACTGGAATGGTTTGCCATTTCCTTCTCCAGCTCATTTGACAGATGAGGAAACTGAGACAAACAGGATTAAGTGACTTGCCCAGAGTCACACAGCTAGTAAGTGTATGAGGCAAGATTTGAACTCAGCTCTCCCTGACTCCAGATCCAGCTCTATCCATTGTGCTATCTAGCTGCCCTATGTACAGGTTAGTGGCTTTCATTTCTAAATGAGTTTGATTCCGCTGGTCCAGATCAACATAAATACATGAATATGGTATGGAAGAGCACTGTCCTTTATCCTATTCTGTTTGACATTTTTGAGGGATGATCTCTACCTTCCCCCACACCCATACCCACCTTCTTTCCAATCCAAATTCCACTCATCTTATAGCACTAAGCTTGTCTCCCATCCTTGTAGAAGCCTTCTCTGATGAGTAGCCCAGCCGTGACCTCTCTCCCTCCTCTGATCTCCTTGACCATAATTTCTGTGGCCCATTATTTGGCACTCCATTATAGACTACTTTGTACTGTTTTCCCATTATTTCATGCCTGTATTTATAGTCTGTCTCCCCAGCTAGATAGCAAACTCCTCCAGGGCAGGGGCCTTCTTTGTCTTTGTCTCTCTTCTCCCTTTTTGTCTAGCACAATGCTGTTGTGCTTGATAAACATCGGATGATGCTTTGATTGAAGCACAGATGTTGCTGTACGGATTTTGAAGGTTGTGTCTACCTGATGCCAAGACAACTTGTTGAAAAGTGAATAATTCTGTTATCTGGTATTTTTTCCCTTTCAAGTCTGCCCAACTGGTTTCTGTGATTTTTGTTTTCCCACTGAATCACAGAAGTGTTTGGAGTGGACCTGCTAGAAGCCTGATTTTTTTGGAGAAGAATCTGTTAAGCAGGTTCCTCCTTGACTAAATTGTCCTGGGATTCAGACCTGCTGCTGTCAAATAAGCTGAGCTATCTGGGAGTGAGGTTTCAGCTGGATTCCAGATGGAGAAGGAACTCTAAGCTAAGATCTGTGATTCTGATAGACACTGGAGCTGCCCTGTCCACTTTTCTTTCCTTCTGGAGATAAGGATGTGGGGTGGGGCAAAGATGGACTTTCCACTCCTGTTTCTGAACTTTATAGACTGATGGATTCAGAGAATATTAGAACTGGAAGGGACCGTAGAGATAATTTAGTCCAGCCCCTTCATTTCACAGATAAGGATGCTCAAGTTTGCCAAAGGGAAGTGACTTGCTCAAGGTCACAGAGACAGTAACATTTTCTTGGGCCTTAAGTGAATGCTAAGCCTACCAACATGAATTATATACTGATTTTGAAAAGAAAAAAAAGGTCATGTCAAATCCATCAGTCCCAAAGAATCTGCTTCATTGTGTTTCTAGATGTCTTGTTGAATGGTAGGGGAAAATAAAAAGTAGGTATCCTAGCATTAGGGAAATGGCATGTCTTGAGAAGGCAGTGTGGTTGATGCAGGGCAATGTGCCCTAGACTGAAAATGAGATATGGGTTTTATCCCTAGATCTCTCACTTACTAGACCCCCAGAGGCCCAGACAAATGAATGAGGAAGAGATGATGAAGGTTAAATTGGCAAACTGTCCTTTGGCAGACAACTTAGTAAAAGGTTAGTTGGGGAAGAGGGCTGAGGTTATTGACTAACATGAGAACTGGAGTTGTCCATTGGTTTTCTTGAAGCCTGCTATTATTGCAAGTTACTTAGTGCTTCAGGATGGTGCATAGGTAGAAGGGTATGGAGCCTGTAATATAGACAGTACCTGTACATATTTACAAATTGTGTGTGTGTGTGTGTGTGTGTGTGTGTGTGTAAGACAGAGAAAGAGAGAGAGAGAGAGAGAGAGAGAGAGAGAGAGAGAGAAGAGAGAGAGAGAGAGAGAGAGAGTCGAGAGAGAGATTCTATTCCATTTGAGTGGCAGGAATTCTGACCCAGGCAACGGGACTACAGTTCTAGCAAATGTTGGCAGTGCTTTCTTCTTTTTCCTTCATTAAATAATAAAGACTGGACTATGTGTCTCATGGGCCTCTACAGGTTCTGCTCAAGGTGTGGTATTGGTACCTGCCCAGGCTAGAATGATAAACCAAAGCTAACAACATAACATTTAACAGGGATAAATGTAAAGTTCCACATTTAATTTCAAAAAATCAATAGCACTAGGGCCAGATGGGGAACTGTGGCTATACAGCTGTAGATGTGAAAAAGACCTGAGGGCTTTAATGAATTGCGAGCTACTTTGAGTCAGTTGTGTGATGTGTGTCCCCAAACCTCTAAGGCAATCCTAGGTTTTAACAGAAGTATCCAAAATGCATGAATGATTGTTCTACTGTTCTCTGGCCTAGGTAGATCATATCTGAAATAGTTTCAGGTTGTGGGGACTAGGTTTTAGAAGAAAATACAAACTCCAGAGGGTCCAAAAGCTGGTGATAAAATAGTGTGGACTCAAAACCATGTCATCTGAGGGTGAGTTGAAGTAACTGACAATGCTTCATTTGGCAAATTGAAGGTTTGGAACTAGGGATTTAATATCTGTCTCAAATATTTGAAGGATTTTAATATAATTGAGGTAATAGACTTCTATGCTTAACTCTAGAGGGTAGAACTAGAATCACTGGAAGGAGGAAGTCATGGAGTTGGGGGAGGGAGGAGAAATTATAGGACGAGATTTTAGTTCAATATTAAAAAGCCCTTCCAATAACTGGAGATATCAAAAAATGTGTTAGGCTACCTTGAGAAGTAATGAATGTCCCATCTCTGAAAGTCTTCAAGGAAAGGCTGGATGACCAATTGTCAGAGATTATGTAGTGTCATGCTTTGGACCTAATGATGTCTGTGGTACCTTCGAACTCTAGAATTAGATTAACTCATGAAGGCCATGAAAACTGGAAGGCCACTGACAGGTCAATGAGTCTAGCAGCTTGCCCCTGAGTAGGACCTCATCAATACCCTCCCAGATGGCTTCAAATGCTATGTATGTAGATCCTCCTTTGTAAATAATGTCAAGGGAACAAAGTTTGTTTTCCACACCTCTCCTTCATAATTTTCTCCGATCCTCTAGACAGCTAATCAGAGTTCCACAGATATTTAAAAAGAGGGGAGACTGAGAAGTGAAAAAAGAAAGAAAGAAAGAAACCATCAGTAATTAGCATTGAGACCAAAAAAGAAGGAAAAAAAAGGAAAAAAAGCTAACTACCTACATGACCTTGGGCAAGCATGCACTAGATAGTTTCTAAGAGTCCTTTCAGCACTAATATTATTTGATTCTTAAGTCATCACCAGGATTCATGATGCCTATGAGCTAGCATTCCCTGATGAGGACAGCAGCCATCAGTTAAATAAGAATTTTCCACATAGGTGTGAATGTACGAAGGGCATTAGCATCTTGTTGATCTTCTGGCATTAGTCACAATTGTGTCTTCTAGAGCTTTCTGTTTGGTGAATACAGGGGCTCTTCCATGTAGTGCCCACTATAAGTATATGTGGATATATACATGCATTGTTTATAGGTGTTGTGTGACTCACGAAGCTGATGGTGCACCTACTGCAGTGTGCAAATTTAGCTTGTCACTTCTGTGGGAGCTTCACATGCTGTATATTGGCATATCTCTTTGTTGCATGAGAGTGATCTGTATGTGTGTCCTCTGAAATACTGTGTTGAATTTCATGTGCTTGAATCTATGTCTGTCATAGACACGTGTACACACATATCTGTGTGCACTGATTTCATAGGTTCATCTGGAACCAGAGTGAACACATCCAAAACACTCTCTTTCCATGTCTGTACATGGAATGCCTATGTATGTATCTCTCTGAGGGTGCTGTGTGATGAATATGTCCTGTGCTCTAGGCATGGGTGTCTGTTAGTCAAGCATGTGTCTGTTCTGTGTGCATGACTGGGATTTATGTATATGTCCTTAGGAAGCATGGTAAAGTGGATAGAAGGCTATCCAGGGATGCAGGCACTTGGGTTTTAATTCTGCTTTTGACACTGGCTAGCTGTGTGACTCTGGGGAAGTCACTTCTTTCTGGCCCTTCCTTTCTCCATTGTATAAGGAGTGTGGACTAGATAGTTTCTAAGGAGGCTAGGATTCTCTGACCCTGTAAACTCCAGAGTGTGCATGATGGGAAATGTGCTGTGAGTATGCTTGTTTGCCCAGGAAGCTGTGCACCTGTTCTTAGTCTGTGCTGTGTGCCCTATGTGTGTGTCTCTGAGAATGTCTGTATGTAGATGCACTTTCTGTGCCTGCCCCACATGTCTTTGTGATGATGAGGGTGGTAATGGTGGTAGGGGATGTTTATGCCCTGCATGTCGGTATGGGCTTTCTGGGAGTTGCTGTCCAATGAATGCAATGGGTCTCCATTCTTTTGCTCTCATGTTTAGGGGTGTCAAGCATCCTCTGTGTACGTGTCTGTGGAAACTGTGTGCTTCACATATTCACGAATGCATATGTCCCAAGTACATCAGTTCATACTCCATGTGCAAGGTTGTATATACACCTGTGTGCCTAGTGGCCGACTGATGCCTGTGTTCTGTGTGCACAGCACGGCCATATGTGTATTGTACTCCAAGTGCCTGAGCCCGTTGTGTGTACGTGTATATGTGCACCCCGAGGGCACGTTTGTTGCGATTCGAGTGTGCACTCCGCCCACTGCCCGCTAGCTACGACCCGAGGCGTCTCCCCCCACCCCTCCCCGCGGTGCTGCCCCCTCCCCCCCTCCTCTCTGGCCTCTCTGATTGGCCGCCCCCTCGGGCCTCTCCACCTCTCCCCCCATCCCCTTTCTCCCTCCCTCCTCGTCCCCTCCCCTCCCGCTCCATCCCTGTCACCGGTGGAGCCGGCGGCGGGTCCCCGGCGGAGCCTGCGCCGCGCTCGGCTCCCATTGGCTGCCCTCGTCTTTGTGTGCCGGGCAGCTGCGGCCCCAGCCCCGCATTTGAATGTATAGAGGGGGATTGGAAGGGAACATTTCCATGGGCCATCTGTCTCTTCGCCAGCCAGCGCTGCCGCCGCCTCAGCCTCCGCAGCCTCCGCCCCGCTGCTGCCTCCGCCACCATCCCCTCCATCCCCTCCATCCCCTCCATCCCCTCCATCCCCTCCATCCCCTTCATCCCCACCTCCTCCTCTACCACCTCCTCCGCCTCCTCCTCCTCCGCCTCCGCCTCCACCAGCGCCCGGGAGCAGCGCAACAAAGGGACCCCGCGCAGCAGCCGCGAGAGCAGCCGCCGCCGCCGCCGCCGCCCCAGCTTCCAGGATGGTCCTAGTCCACGTAGGCTATCTCGTTCTTCCAGTATTTGGCTCTGTGCGAAACAGAGGTATCGCTTTTTCATTTCGGGGTCTGCTTTGGAGCTCGGATCGCCGTGGGCATGGGGGACAGGGAATGGGGGGAGACCTGGGTGCTGCAGCTGGTGGGGAGGGAGGGTTTTTGCAAGAAAGCAATGTCTAGCCCTCTCTTTTTTGGGGGACCCCCTGAGTATGGGGAGCCTGCTCCCTTGAGATCTATTGTAAGGAAGTTGGGGTTTGGCTGACACGGATCTTTCCCTCCCCCTTCTTTCCCTCCTTCCTCCCCCCAATTTTTTTAATCCTTTTGCGGCGGACTTGGTTCCCCCAAATCGCCCCCCCTTCCCAGATGCCTAGATGCTCTAAAGAGGGAGAGAGACCTGATTGTGTGTGTACGCGTGTGTTTGTATGGAGTGTTTGATTTTTATGTAGCAGTGTGGGCTTCACAATATTTTATTTTGAGGTGTGTGCTCTGTTTAATTTGTATTTTTTGTTATTAATATCAGTGGCTGATCGCTGTTTAACTGGGATCTGTGGCTCTCTCTCCTTGCACTCCTCTACCCCACCCCCCAACCTCTTGTGGGCAGTAGCATGATCTCTCTTTCTCTCTTTCTTTCTCCCCCTCCCCCTTCTCCTTTTAAACCTTTTTCTGTTTGTTTGTTTATTGCCTCTGTGTTGTGCTATCCCCCCCCCCGCAATTGTCTGAAACCGCTTTTGCTGTGAAGACGGGTTAAAGATTCTTGGCGTGGTGTGGTGTGGTGTGGTTGCAGTATGTGTGTGTATGTGTGCGTGTGCGTGTGTGTGTGTGCGTGCGTGCGCGCGCGCTCGTGTATGTGTGTCCGTTTGACTTGGAGAGAGCTAGACATGTATTTCTGTTTTTCCCTGTGCCAGACTGGATCTGTATATTTGGTCCTTTGGGGATTGCAACTGTGTGTGAGGTTCAGGCTGGAGATCACCTCTCCGGCCAGGAGTCCTTCCCAACGCCATACATTTGCCACCGGGAGACAGTTACAAAGCAGCAGGCTGGCGGTGGGGGTTTTGTTTTTTAAATATGTGCTATGGGATGTGTTTGCACGGATTTCCCTCACATTCCCTTTCCCTCACATTCTGCTACAATAGGCTTGATTTCCCCCCCTTTCTTTCTCCCCCCACCCCATTTCTTCCATTTTCTTTCAATCAAAAACAAAAACAAAAAACCAACCAAACAAAAAACCCCCGAACCACCACCCAGTATTCATTTAGATTCTTTTTTTCCTTTTTTTTTTCTCCTTTTTCTTTTTGGTATTCTGCCTTTGGATGCACATTTCTCCTCTTGGAAATGTTTCTTCTCCCTTCTCCACTCCACATTTGCCTGAAATCCCCACTGGATAATATCACACTAAAACAGAATGATGTCTACCCATGCAGACTCGCTCTTCTCTCAGTCAGCATTCCAGGTGGGGGTGGCCATACGCTAGTGCAGTGGGTTCCCCCTTGAAGATTGGCCGCCCTAGAGGCTTAAGTGAGCGTTAAAATGGAGACCCAGCCCTGACATAGCCAGCCCAGCCGCCAGTTCACTCACCCTCACCCTCATCCCTTGCCCCTTGTCCCCCACCCCCACCCCTCAACTCCTGGTGTGCCCAGAACTACTAGGTTGGACCGTAGGCCTGTTTGAACCGCAGTTTCTTGTGTGATGATAGAATGATGACATTCTGCATTTATCAAATCTTTTTTTTTTCTTCATTGTGTAGCACAGTGAATGGTCAACTTGCTGCTGTGTGCGCTGTGACCCTTCTGCCTCCGCATTTAGCTGTATTGTGACACCCCTCTTAACCATTTCCTGTTTCCATCTGAGGAAGGCATTGCTATTTAAGCTGCAGTATCCCCTATCTCAGGCCTGCCTGTCAATTAGAGGGAGAAAAAAAAAGGGCGGGGTAGGGTTAGGTGGTGGGGTAGAGGAGGAGATTTTTCTGAAATGTTAATCCCCCCCCCCCTTTGTTTAAGCTTATCTCCCTATTACTTGCCATTTCCTCTTTTAGGGGTGTGGGACTGTACACTCGGCAGAAATTCAAACATGATTAAGACGGATGTTGAGCCTAAAAGTATAATTATAATTATCTTGATTAAATCATTATCATACTCATTAATACCACCAGATCTCTAAATATCATTTCAGAAGACAAGATACAATTTCATGGCTTGAAATTCAAATTGCTTTAGCTGCTTTAAAACATATATATATTTTTACTTCCCCCTTCTTTGGTCCTGTCCTTCCCCCAATTCCCCCCCCCAAAAAAAACCCATTTACAAGCCACTCAAAGTTCTACTTTCCTGGTGTACACACTTCCCCCCAGAGGAGCTGTAAGCAGCAAAGGGGTGTGTGAGACTATGGGCAAAATTTAGCATGATGTGCTAGGAACTCATGACCTTCCGATAGAGGATACTAATGCTTAAACCAACGAAGTCCTAAACCACAATCTTCTTGTAAAACTATTAGAGAGACTGTTAGCTTAAACCTGTTCTCTTTAGTTTCATTGTAGTAGTGTAGGAAACAGGCCATTTCAGAATAGCTGTAGAGAAATAACAACCATTTTTGTATCTTCATCTTGTTTAGCTAAGTACATTGCACTGTAAATTCCTGTTAAGTGGATTCATTTTGCTTTAGGTTTGGAGGCTGCGGTATCTTATTTTTCCAGTTATCTGGGTAAACATCGGCTTGCCTTGCAGCACCCAGGCATAACTGAACAAATTACATTTGGTTGGAGGCCAAAAAAAAAATTAAATTCTTCAATTTAATGTCATTTGTTGCCATTCCAGAGCCTCTAGAAATTTGGTAGACAGAGGTTCCTGGCCTAAGGGGAGTGATTGCCACAGTTCCTTAAATATTGAGGACTAGTGCATCTTTGGACATTACATGTCATGCAGCCCTGGCCCTCAGTGCTGCCCCTTTAACTGTTGGCTACCATCTGTTCCCAAAAGCCAACTGCATGCCGGATGAACTGTCTTTAAAAACCCCTGAGACAAAAACAATTACCACAGAATGGAGCCCCTGATTCGGGGTCCCTCTGAAATCACCAACCCAGAGAACCTTCCAATCTGGCAAATTTGGCATTTCATGGAAGGTAAAAAGGGGAAAAGAGTTCCCGGCAAAATGGGTTTCCATTCAACAGGGATAGCGTGTTCTGCTGTGCTGAATTACTTCCTGTTCTTATTTTGTGGGGTAATTTTTTCTGTATCAAATATCCTTTTGGTTGTGTATCTTTTTCACCTTTTCTTGTACTAAAACTAAAGCATGATCTGTATTTTTTTACATTCCCCAGTTGACAATGTAAATCGCTCGGTTAGAGACGTTACCCTGCTGAAATGTAATGTGGTCGTGTAGCCTGGACCATCTGCTCATTGTACGCTGCTTTTGTTCTGTTGCCCTTCCGAAGCATGGTGGGCCCGGCCTTTTTTTTGTATTGTGTGCATGACAACATTGTTACACACAGAATCCACTAATACTAATATACGAATCTCTCAATAAAGAAACTAGTTTTCCTATATTAACCTAGTGTGCTTTTTCTCTTGCTGTTTCCCCATTTATTGTCGTATCCTGCTGTTTAGATTTTTTTCCCTTGCTTTTCTATCCCTACCCTCACCTACTTCCACCCCCACCCCCCATTGTAAGGTTTGAGTGAATGCCTTTTTTTTTTTGGTTGTAATAGATATGGTGACTTTAATCTCATCTACCCCATATCTCTTTCCATTAGCAGTCTGGGGCACCAGGATAAAAATCCTGCATCCCACAAAGGGGGTGGGGGTGGTCCACGTCCACTGGGCTCTTGGCATAGTCCTCTTCTGCTGTGGAATGAATGGCTCACTTGGGTACACACCTTATCCTTAGCTACTGGGGAGTACCTAAAGACTACTCCTCATTGCCTTTTAATTCCCTAGTAATATGGGGGTCAAGATTAGGATGCTGGTAATCTAGGAGCCAACACCAAATGTGAGAAAAGGGATACAATACTAAAAGACCATTTGTTTGTTTAAAACTTTACTTCCTCTCCTGTGTTTACAATGGTACCCATAATAGAGATTTGTGTCCTAGTCTAAGCAGGAAGAGGTGAGGTGAGATGTTCAATGTACCCAAGGTTAGCACCACTTTCTGTGAAATAGAAACTTACCACAGCCACATATACATATATATATATATGTGTGTGTGGATAGATGTATATTAAGAGTAGTTGAACTCTGAGATTGCAACATTGCCTTAGAATTCCTGGTCAGGAGGCTCTTCAAAACAGAACCCTGTTTTGATTCATCAAGTTAAACAGCAGGACGAGGGATGGTGGGAATAAGAGCACTGCTCTTCTGAGCTGTCTTTGTTTGACAGGGATGTGCCAGAGGTGCTGCTGCAGCCTGTTTCTGAGATCCCCAGTGGCCAAAACCATTCCATACCACAATGAAAATTGGTTAAACTGTGGCACTTGCAACCTGGTTAAAAAAAAAAGACTTCTGACCTCTGTCATTATATTAAGTAGATTTTTCTGGGGGGAGGGAGGGGAGGAAATCAGGACTCCTCACCTCCAAAAAGAGATCCCCCTTTAAAAAATGCACATGTATTGTATAGGCATTTGAAAAGAAAGTAGTGAAATGCTTTTTTTCTCTCTTCCAAAGTGGAAACCAAATTCAAGCATTTGTCAATTACACCTATTCAATTTCTAGCCCTGAACAAGCCTTGTTAAATGAGGCATGTTAGATACCAATGACATCAGTTGATTAAAGAAATTCACGGTTCCTTCAAATGGTCATCATTTTGGAGAGCCATATCATTTTGCAAGGCAGTGCCTCCTCGCTTCCTCCAAGCCGTATCCTGAGTTTTCCTCTTCCATAATCCTTTTCCATGTATCTGGCCATCATGTCCCTCCTATGTGATCACACACAACACTCTTCTCTCTTCCTCTTGGTGTAATCTCTGCTCTGGCCCTTTGTTCTCTCGCTAGCCTACCCTATTCCAGATTGGGAAGCTTAGCTGACTTGCTGTGACACACATACACACATACATGTAACAGAG